AGTTTTATCTTACTTTTATAGTATAGTTAAGACTAAAATTTACTAATAAATATAGGGCCTTAATTAGATATAATACTTTATAGGGGTCTATAGCGAAGTTCTACTTCTATATAGAAAAGCTTTATAAGCTTAGAGGCGTTAATTAATATAGAAACGGTAAAAAATAGAGCCTATTTTATTATCCTATTAATAATAATAAGGATACTATCTACTATATCGTTTTTATAAATTATAGGTAGTAATCCTATAATAAAATCTATTAATAATTTAGCGAAGGGTCGAGTAGGAATCGGTAGTATTCCGAGTACGTTATATAGCTAATACCTTAGAGCTACGTTTCCTTAATATACTATATATTCGGATACGTATTCCGCGATATCTTAGTATATATTTTACTAATAGAAATATCTTTATAGTAATATTAATATTCTATATTTACTAAAATATCCCGCTAGGGTATTATTATAATAAAGACTAAGGAGTTTTTTCCTTAAGTTCTCCCCTATAAGAATATAGAGTCTTTTTTTATACCTTATAATACTATATAGATCGACGCCCTAATCTTTATTACCTAGTTTCGACTAGGAAATAATAAGTTTTTAGCGGCGTATCTTAGGATCGCTATCCTAGATTTTCTCGATTAGGTTTTAGAGGTCCGGTTATACTTCCTATATATATACGGATTAGTTTCGGTACGTATACTTAACCGTTTTATAGGGTATCTATTAGTCGCGACCTAACTCTTCCTATATAGCCTAGTTAGCTACTTCTATACTAACTTCGTCGCTATTTATACTAGTCCGTTCTAGATTAAACTAGGATTTACCGGTATATAAATCGCTAATACTTAGCGATTTAGCTATAGTAATACTCCGTTTCGGTAGTATTTTAGTAACAATTCTATCCTATAATAGTCTAAGTAGATCTTCTACTAAGGCGTCTCCTAGTTTTAGATCTACTTTTCGGGATAATATATCTATAGGATTTATTTTTCCTAGTCTATATTTAATAAAAAAGTTATATAGGGATAGGAATATATACTATCTCGCTTATCTTCTATTTAGCTTTAGCTACTTTATAAAAGTCTATAAATTTATATAATTAGATAGAACTTCTATAGATCGGATACTTCCTTCTAAATAGTATCGCTAATATTTAAATAAGTAAACGATAGCGAATAGTTCTTAATCCGGGGTAGAATAGTTAAGTTTAGCCCTACTAAACTTTCGGGACTAAAAGGCTATAGGATACTATTTCCTATCTTTATCCTTCTAGGATATAATCCCTCCTATACCTTTATTAGAAGTATTAGTTTCTAATCGCGTATCCCTTTCTAGGTCGAAATAGTATAGTAATATTAGTAACTAAAACGCTATAATTAAATAGCGAAATATAAGTCTTTCGTAGACGTTAAGCTAGACTTATCTAGGTTTTCTTCTATTTTTTAACCCTTTTAGTAAGGAAGTTAATAGGAGTATAATCTATAAAAACCGCGGTATAAACTAATAGTAAAAGTTATAGAATCCGATAAATACTTAGATATTATAATAGCTTTTAGGGAGTTCTTAGTTCCTAATAGATTCTACCCTTCGGGGGTCTATAGAGACGCCCTTCGAACCTACTATAAATCCTAGGAACTCTACCTCTTCTTAATAGAATATATACTTTAAGACCTTTATATATAGGCTAGCTCTCCTAAGGTTTTCGAGAACTTTTCGGAGGTATTTCGTATAAGATTCCTTTATTAGAGAAAATATTAGTATATCGTCGAGATATACTATATAGATTATATTAAGATAGTCTTTTAGTACGTTATAGATATAACTTTAGAATATAGTAGAGGTATTAGTTAGTCTAAACGGTATAATTATATACTTATAGTACCTATATCGAGTGCGAAATATAGTCTTCTACTTATCTCCTTCCTTAATATAAATTCGGTAATACGTATCTTAGATATCGACTTTACTAAACTATTTAGCTCCCGTTAATCGGTCTAGAATTTCTAAGATAAGTAGTAATAGGTACTAGTTTTTAACTAAGATTTTATTTAGCCTCTAGTAGTCTATATAGAGATATAATCCGCTATCCTTTTTTAGAATAAAAAGGATCGGTACTCCTATAGGACTTTTAGATAGTCGGATTTATCCGTTTTCTAGGTTCTTATCGATATACTCCCGAAGTTCTTTTAGTTCCTTTTAGGATAAGGGGTAGATTAGTCTATAAGGAGGGTTTTCTCCTAATAATATATTAATAGTATAGTCTATAACCTTATTTAAGGGAAGGGTTTATATATTTTTCGTAGAGAAGATATTATAGAATCCCTATAATTCCGAAGGTAAGTTAGGAGATTCTTCTATATCCCTATTCTCTTCGTATAGGAGCTATACTTCTTCGGGTATTTTTACTATAGTATAGATATATATATAGTTCCTACACTCTTTTATAAACCGGTATAGGGTTATAGCTTTATAGTTTAGGGTATTAAACTACTATTTTCGATTTAGTAGAGAGAGATTAATTTTTTAGTCGACTAAGGTTATTATTAATAGTAGTACTAGACTACCCGAAATCCTTAGATCTCTATCGATAGTAACGTAAGGTCGTATAAACGTTCTAGTAATTCCTTTACTATCTATAATAGTTATAGGGACGTTCTATACCCTATACGTAGTTACTTCTTTATATCCTACTACTTTAATAATAGGAGGTATAAGTTTCGCTTTTTAAAGTTTTTAAGTTTTTACGAACTCGTAACTAACGAGGTCGACTTCCGTATAACTATCTAGGTCTATATAGGTTTTAATTTTTCCTACTAAGATCGGAGTATAGAAGCGTATTATCGTTCTAATCTAGGGGGTCGGAGTAGGGGAATCTACTCCGACCCGCTCTCGTTTCCCTACTATTTCGTCGAGGATCCTTTTATTTTTACTAGTTATACTTTTATTTTCTTTATTAGGGAGTCGTTTAGATATTTATTTAAAAGGTAATCCTTATTTTAATAGGTATAATAGGTAAGTTTCTTTCCTATCTTTTTATCGATAGGGTTTCCGCGCCTTTTTAACCTTAAGTCCTTTAGATTTCTTTTTTCGGAGGAGTTTTCGTTTTTATTATATTTTTCGAACTTTCTCTTTTTCTTTTTTATATCTAGGTCTCCCTATCCCGATTTAGTCGCTTTTCGTTTAGGTTTCGTTTTCTAGTTTTAAAACTCCTAAAATTTTAATATAATAGAGACTATCTCCCTTTAAGTTTTTAGAAGAGTTAGGTTATATTTATAGATATAGGCTTAAAGTCTATAATTAAGTTTTAAGAAAAAGGTAAGGGCTCTTTATTCCTCGCTTTACTTTAGGAAATATTTTTTTAAGAGATTTAACTTATAGTAAAAGTCTCTTAGGTCTTAATCGTTTCGTTAGATTATCCTTTATATTTAGTTAGTAACGGTAGCTTATATATTTATAGAATTTTTTATTAAGGATAGAGTCTATTCCTTAAGGTAAGCCTATAAACTCTATACGATTCGGCTTAGAGTTAAAGGTATTTTATCTAGGTAGTTATACTAAAGTCGTTAGTAGTTCCTATTTATATAGGATAGGGTACTAAGGATCTTTTATTTTTTAGTACTATATTTTTTACTTATTCCTTCGAATTCTAGGCGTAGTCTAAGTAATTAGTTTTCTCTTTCTTAGATCGAGAATTCTTCTATAAAGTTAGAGTTCTTAAAACGGATTTCCTAACTATATAGGTTTAGTAAATTACTACGAATCCGGCTACGATATATTAGTATTTTAGCTACTCTTTCGAGCTATTCGATCCTTATTATAAGGGCTTAGAAGGTTTCTTTCTTAAGGATCACTTAAGAATTATCCTTATTTCGCTAAGGATTTAGGGTAGTTTCGGAGGGTTATCAGTTATCTCTACTAGTAGTAGTAGGTACTTCCGAGAGTCCTAATAAAGATTAGGTCTCTCCCTCCTCTATCTCGTAGATAGTAGGGTTTTCTTATAGAGGTATCTCCTTATTACCCTATCGGGATCGTAAACTCTATCTCGTTATTATTTCTTTAGATAGTCAAAGAAGAAGATTTAGAATTATTAAGGTAACTATTTATTAAGGCAGTACTTATTAACTAGGTAAATAATAATACGAGAGGGATACGTAGTTAGAACGAAGGGTATTCGATTCTATATTGGTTCTAAGACTAAATCTTACCTTCCCTTTCCCTATAGATGTCTTCCTTTTATGATTTAGGTTCCCCGCTTCTCGGGACCGGATCATATTAGTTCTATCCCGATATCGTGGGGTATTCGGAGGGGTCTCCTCCGTCTGAGAGAAAGGGAGCCTAAGGCAAAATAGTATAACAAAGAAATACCGTAACAATATAAGAGTAAGAAGAATAAAATTGTTATAGTATTTCTTTGTTATATTATTTTGCCTTAGGCTCCCTTTCTCTTAGACGGAGGAGACCCTTCCGAATACCCTATAATAATAGGATAGAACTAAGATAATCCGGTTCCGAGAAGCGGGGAAACTAAATCATAAAAGGAAGATACCTATATAGATAGGGAAGGTAAGATTTAGTCTTACGAATAATATAGAATCGAATACCCTTCGTTCTAACTACGTATCCCTCTCGTATTATTATTCACCTAGTCAATAAGTACTGCCTTGACAAACAGTTACCTTAATATAGACGGCCGAGATATATAGATATACTCCGTAGGCATGTAGAGAGAAAAAGGAAGACTACTTAAAATACACAATGTAAAATTGTTTAACTCGCTAGCCTCTGTGTGAATCAGAGGATCAAAAATTTGGGACAATTTAGGACCTATGAGATCGGCAAAGATGACCATTGAATCGCTTCCTTATGCTAAGTCATTTTCAATTGCTATCGCCCTGGACTATGAAACCTCCGCCACGCCCGGAATCCTCAGTCAGTTGAAGACGTAGACTCTCTAACTCCTTGTGCATTGCCTCCCGACTAGCATTTTCCTGAAGGCATTCAAAGTCGAGAAGTTTTACCCCCCCCCTCCGCTACGAGAAAGTTGTATCGGTTCGCATCCCCATGTAAAAATCCCAATTCGTGGAGTTTCCCCAGAGCTGCTTCACAGATATCCAGATCCTGAATGGAAGCAGGGCGTCCTTCTATTTTCTCTAATAGAAACCCCATGATGCGTCCATTTTCATGAATATGGCCGAGGAAACGCGGCGTCAGCCCGGAATACTCCAGCAGCTGATATGCTCTTGTTTCTCGTTCGATACGAGGAATCTCCCATTCGAAACGAGCTATTTTAGCGATAACGGTCGCTGGCGTTTGGAAGATGGTTGGGAGAATTAGATGCAAGACTGCTTCGAATGCCGATGCCGTGAGCAGCTTGGTTCTCTCTAACTCTAGGCAATCAAATAGGGCGTGATGCCATTGACACTTGACGCCGGCTAGAGGTCGGTTCGAGATCGAGGTTTTCAAGTCGCCGCTAGTTTTGTCTCGCGAAATGTGGGCTACTGTCCATTCATCGTACCAAGGAAGACTTGGCAGGGACTGAACAGGGAATGAAAGCGTATCTCTGTCGAAGGTTTTGGGAGATATGATGATATATTTGACTTGATTTCCGATTCGCAGTCTATATTCACTTTCAAAGGAATCTTCATCATCCACTTCCATGGAGAGGACAGCCGGATGCATTGGGTTCTCTGGATGTTGATAGGAAGACATATTTGGCAATGCCCCCCCCACCCCCCACTATGATGGAAAGCTGGGTTTTATAATATATGCTTGAAATTACCTTAACCGCCGCTGTACTTGCGATTTTTCTATTTTCGGAAGAAGATAGTAAGATACTCTATTGTCTAAAGGATAGGAATGTCGAGCGGGGTTGGGCAGGCCAAGGAAATCTAGACCCCGCCACCGTCTCAGCTCAGCGGCAAGGCCTCTACGCAATTTGCTCAATTAACTCAGCCACATATACATACCAGCGGTTGGCGCACCTTGTGCGTGTAAATCATGTCGAGAATTCTGCAGGTGATCATCTTTACAGAGTCTTCTGCGGTAGTGATTTAAGCTCCGCGGTTACCTGAAACACCAAACTGTACAAAACCCACTCTTGGTGGATCTTTTATTGGTCCAGGGCTTTTTTTCTCTCCAAATTTGGAGGAAATGGAGTTAAATTGACAACAAATGACGACCGTGAACCTCGTATGCAACACCTGTGGTACTTTCCTCGTCTTTATCTCAGTGTGCTAGAGCCGCCAGTCCAAATGCTCCCGTGCTTCCTGAGACCGAGGCGATATTCGGCCTGGCAGATATAAAATGTTCGCCTGGGTCATCTCTCAAACAGTAACAGCATCGGATTTCAGTCGAGCTCTTCTTTTATTGCATCGGCAAGAAGAAAACGTTTAGAACGGCCCTCCACCACCTTACAAGTTTCTCGATAGTGCAAGTGAAGCTCTATTCTCTGCACTAGTCGCTTCTACCGATTATCAGCGAACGTACAAGTCGTTTGACAGCAGAAAATCGTAAGGAGAAGACTATTCCCCATATCTAAGCCCCAATTAACTTCGGATACCTTAACAGGTCAAAATGTGCGATTCAAAGTACATCCAATATACGTGTGGCTGCAGGAAGGAGTGGGAGTTCGTCCAGTGTTTGGACCGCCAGGGAACAAACGTCAAATGCAGTCCAGTCAGAAAGGTATTTGGCAAAATCTCGAGCAACTACTGTTCAAGGCACCTGGTCAAGCCAGACGCAGAGGTCAAATTCATGGATCAAATGGGACAAATCGTGGAGGAATAAAGTACAGTATTGTACGTTGGATGACTGGAATATGTCCGCTTTCTAAGCTCTCCTTTGTCAATTCTAGGTATAGTAAATGGGCTCTATATGATGGTCATTCTCTTCTTCGAAAGTAGCCTCCTGTCCGAGCAGACACAGGTAGCTCGGGTGGCCGGTTTTTACCCTCGCCACTCGATCTCCACAGGAGCTGTGCCTGTTTACACCACTGAAAATGCTCCAAAAAGCTGTCTTGCGCATACACTTTGTCTCGAGCCTCGTATCCCCATTTCGTGCCCCTAGTGCCGATAATACCTTTTTCAATACCAAGTTGACACCCAGCACACGAAATCCCGCGTTCCACTCTGCAAGTCTGTTTGTCGTAATAAGGAAGTGCACACGACCCCATGAAGTTGATTTTTTGATTTCGGTCTAAGCCCGCTGGTTGGGCTTGCGGAAGTCTAGGCGGTTGCCGTCTGCAAGCCAAAGTGGCCTGATAGAGAGAAACGATCGTAATGCGGGAATTTTGTACAGATTCATTCATCGAGTATATTCCAGGCAAGGCCTTAAATGATCTGAGTTGGCCTAATTCGGCTTTGGTCATGTGAAATTGCTTTCGGACTGAGGCGAGAGTCCGCACTTGGGTTTGCGAAGACCACTGGAGGCAATTAAAACAGCACCTCTTCCAAATTAGAAGGGATATAAACCCGCCGAATTCGCCGCAAAAATTGCATGCTTTAGTACATAATGCGTTGTAAAATTCGAGTAGAGAAATGTGGATGGCAAGTCGTGTTCGTAACAAAGCACAGAAGAGGTTCAGTCCATAAGAGACTACCCTCTGATACTGCTGGAGAGAATCTACCATTTGTCTTGATCGGAGGTTTATTTGTCGAAATTTGAACAGAGAATGCATGTCCAGACAGTACAATGTGTCAAATAAGAGCTCGAGGGGTAGCCGGTCGAGGGAGCCGACTCCAACATTTGATGTCCGCTGAAAGGGTGTTGCTATTGACGGGCGAATATCGACGTGTTCACGGGGCGAGAACCAGATGACGGATAGACAGTAGTCTCTGCGGTGGTAGGCGGTGGTTCGAACAATAGCTTCGGCTTGTTCTTCGTCGAAACAGTGTTCGGTGGCGGAACGATATCCGCGGGGCAAAAGGGTAGTCATTCTGGAGGTTTGTCCAGTACGAGGTACGGGGTGGAAGGGGTAAATCTCGACAAGAATCGCGACTCTCCAGTGTACCTCCCTGAACACTTCTTGGAGGCCGGTATTGTCGTGTAAAAGACGCGACTGGATCACGGACCTGGGTGGCTAGAATTCATTGCACGGGGATTTCAATCGCGTTTAGGGGTTTTTATTGTTGATAGGAGCTCTTCGCGGACTTATATACTTTTTCCTTATGACAATAACTATGGGTTTTGTACCCGCTTAGGTAATCCCCATCTGGGCCAGGGGTGTTGATCCGCGCACCCCAAAAAGTCACGTTTTTTCACCCTATTATATAATCAATTTTTTACATAATTTGCAAGTTCGGGAAAAACAGGAGGCATATCATATAATTATCAACCTTATCTATCCATCTGATACCATACATGATGCCAAACAACAAAAATAACCTTATAATTTCCGTATTGGGCAACCCCTAAACGTATAATCGCCCTCCCCGCACTATAAGCACCTACTTAGGGCTAGACCTGGCAGTGACCCTCCGGGTGGTCTATGACCTTGGACCCTCCACCCGCCCCTCCGAGGTTTAGGGTCGCTTATGAGCGACCCTAACCCTGACCCTAGTTCTATAAGGGTCGTATGCGGGTGACCCTTAATGACCCGTAGCGACCCTCGGATATATAAATTTCTAGCGCTAAACCTAATGTAGGTGGATAAAACTGATTACTTATCTTAATAAAATACTATTATTTATACCTATTTTATCTATTAGACTATAAATACTAACACTTAACTACTAAAGTTATAGAATGTCTTAAATTATTTTAATAATATTATTTTTCGCTAATAGTTCTATTAGTTTTATACTTCTTTTATATTATACGACTATAGGAAAGAAGTATAATAGATAGTAGAAGTTATTAGTCTATAATAGAGTAGATATATATATCTATAATATATATTATATTAATTAAAAGGTTTATTAGGGGTCTAAGGTTCACTAAGGGTTAGAATAAGGTTTATAGAGGGTCTAAGAGGGTCACTAAAGGTTAAAATAAGGTTTATTAAGGGTAACCCTTAGGTTCGTTATTAAGGCAAGTGGGCCTAACACCACTATGCAAAACGTAGGAAGTAATAGTAAGGTAGAGCGTTTACTAAAAGAGCCACTATAACGACTAACTAGTCGTTATATTAGGTTACCAACCTAAATACCCGATATATGCTATAAGATATACGCACTATATTCATACTCCGTATGCTAGGTTATAATATTATCTCCCCTCTTTCTAATGCCTTAACCCCGAGGCATAGAATATCTATAGGTAGCTTGAACGGTATAGATACCGTGCTAGTAAGATATCGGTATATATATATTAAGTTATAGACCCCTAAGTGTATATATAGATCTCTCTATGATATTCCTTATAAAGACCGTAGATTCGAATTCGACATCTACATATCTCGAACCTAGGGTCTCCGAAGTTAGTCGTTATATTATTAAGGCAAGTGGGCCTAACACCACTATGCAAAACGTAGGAAGTAATGGTAAGGTAGAGCGTTTACCAAAAGAGCCACTATGACGACCAACTAGTCGTCATATCAGGTTACCAACCTAAATACCCGATATATACTATAAGATATGCGTACCATATTCATACTCCGTATATTAGGTTGTAACAATAAGGTTAAAATAAGATTAAAATAAGTATTATATTTTAATATATAGAGGAAATTTCTAAATTAGCTACTCTCGCCTAGCTATAGACGTAGCCTATCTCTCTCCTCTCGTATAGCTTATATTCTAGTACGCCTCCTTAGCTCTTCTAGTTCCTTTACTAGCTCTATCTCTTTAGTCTCTTCGATACTAGGTATCGGTATATAAGGAAACACTTATAGAGTTAGCGTTTAAGATTCCCGAGGAGATAGAGCTCGAGTACTAGACCGAGCTATATATAGTGTAGTATACTTACTTCCTTTAGTTAAATAAACTGAAGAACCCTAAGATACTATAGTACGGTTTAGTAGCTATATTAGAGGATTAGGTTAATTATATCTATTCGCGGGATTAAATATATATTATAGCTTCGCGATACGTTTAGCTATAGTGTTACGATCTTATTTATCTAGATTATAGTTAGTATAAGTTTAATATAAACTAGGTATATAATAAACTAACCCTTTTTTCGAACGCTTTTTATAATCTTTATAATATAATTCTAATTCCTCTATAATATTAGAAGACCTTTAATAGTTTTTATATATATATAGTCTTTAATATTTAGTATATATTTTTTTAACCTATTTAGATATATTAGACTTATATTAAATATATATAAAAGAAAACTTATCTAAGAATTATAGTTAATAAGGCCTATTTTCGACTTATTACTTTATTTTCTTAGTAATAGCTACTTTTACTAATTCTAGTAGAATATTAAGCGTTTATCTACTAATAGATAGGAATTTTTAACGCTTTTAGAGTAATACCTATAAAAATCTAGCTAGCTAGTTTATTCTTAAACTAAGTCTTAGTCTTTAGCTACTCTACTATAGTATTATCTATAATCTTAAGGACTTTTTATTTAGACCTTATTTTATAGATAAGCTTAATTATAGGGGTTATTAGATATTTAGGGTATATCTTATTAAATATATATTAGATATATATATAATATATAATTAGTATATATTAAAAATACTCTAACTATATTAAATAAGAATTAAGATTTATAAAATAATCGCTAAAGCCTTAAAATATAAATTTAAATTAATATAGCTATAATATATACTTTATATATAATTAATATACTAAAGCCTTATTTTATATATATATTAATAATAATAGTTTAGATATCTTATATTATCTCTATATTACTATTAAGTTAGTATAACTATTATATAGGCTTTTACCCTATATTTCTAAAGACTATAAAAAGCTTCTCGAAAAAAATATAATAATATTTACGACTTTTAGTATTAATAAAAGCCTAAATATAGATATTTAATACTAAATATATTAGTAAAATAATTATATCTCTAATATAATATACTAACTTTAGGCCTTATTATTATATCTAATAATTAAAAAGACTATAGTCTTTTCTTATATTATCTTAAAAGTAAGATCTATTTTAATATATTATATATTTTAGAAAAGCTTAGCTTAGCTATATATATAGTATATAATTAGGAAGTACCCTTAAGCCTTATCTAGTATATAGACTTTATAGATAAATTACTTATCGTTATCCTTTATTCTATTAAATTTAAACTTACGGAATATACCGATAAAATATATTCCCTATAGGTAGTAAAGGATCCTTTACTTAAAGATTAAAGTACTAATCCTATTATAAATAGTAAAATATCGAGTAATAGTTTTATATATAGATCTAATACTTATATAAAGGAGTTTAGCGAATTCTAATAATTATAAAAATTTACCTATAGATAGAGTTAGTATTTTCTAAGCTTAGAGATAAAATACTTATAGTATATAAGGCTAAAGATATCCTATATTTTAAGTACTTTTATAATTTCTTAGCCTATCTTAAATAGTAACTTTATTAGTAGTAGTAGAAAATAAAAATAAGATCTCTAATAAATAATAAAATAGTATAGAAACCGCGCCTATAAGACTAGGATATAAAGATCGACTTTAGTCTTATATATAATTATAGTTATCTTACTAATCTTATCTATATAGAGTAAATCTATTATATAATTAGTTTATATCTAATATATATTTAAATATAGTAAATATACTATATATTATAATCTTCTTTATTTATTATTAGATAAAATAATAGTTATTAATACTAATAATCCCTATATAATTATCTTATCTTAAATAGAGGACTTATAAAATATCTAGATTTAATTAGTTTATAATCTTTTAGAAACTCTTTAAATAATATTAGTTACTAGAAAAAGAACTATAGGAATAGCTAATAAATATAAAACTATTTTTAGTCTATATAATTAAATATATACTCTTATATATCTAGATATCTAAAGAGTACTTATATAGACTATCTTTATAGTTCTATATCTCTATAAAACCGAAGTAAAATCTATATTATATATAAACTTAATATATATTAAAAATAAAAAAGAAAGTATATACTCTCTTATTCTATCCTAAATTTTATTAGATATCTTACTTTTATAGTTAGGCTTTATAACTTTAGCTTATAAATTAAGAAAGAGCTCTAATATAACCCTATTATATTATAGTAATAGGCGTTTAAGCTCTAAATATACTTAATAGTAATATTAAATCCTAAAGTAGATATAAGATCGGTAGTAGGTTTTTAACTCTAGATCGCGTACGACTTTTCTAAGAAATCTTATATAGACTAGTATTATTAAAGTCTTAGATACATCGATTAAAAATTAATACTATAATAAAAGTTAGACTTATAATAAGTATATATAGTATATATATAAACGTATAGTAGATATAATTTACTTAAATACTATATTAATAGCCTTTAATATTAGAGTTATATTTTAAATAGGATTCTTTATTATATAAATAATATATAGAATCCCTTTATTATTAGTATTAAGATAGTTAGGAAGAAAAAGATAGTCTTAGGTCTTAGATATATAGACTTTTCTTTAGTCTATAATATTAATAAAAACTAGTTTAGTAAAGATAATAATTTAGTTAAAAGAGAAGTCTATATTACTACTAAAATAATTCTTAGATAGATCTTAGTCTAGGATAGATAGAGAAGACTAGATATCTATAGTTATAGGCTAAGGAAGCTTAGTATATATTAAATATATATAAAAGGTAGAAAACTAATAGGCTAAACGCGAGATCTAATAGTTTAAACTATAGATAGGGAAGTTTAAACTATAGGTAGGGAAGTTTTCGGAGGGATTTAATACCCTAGAAGATTATAGAGTTATCTTTAAATCTTAGCTTCTTCGAGGATCTCTAGGAGTAGGCGTAGTTTAGGGAGATTAGAAAATAAAGGTAGATAAAAAAGATTTCGAGGATAATTAGGTAGTAATAAGTCTATTATTTAAAGAAAGGTACTAGATATACCCGAATAAGGAAGCGGATAGGGATACTATAGATAGGGATTAATAAAAAAATTTCAATATAAGAATAGCTGATATAATCACCTAGTTTAGAGTCCCCCTGAGATGTGGTATCTATAGTAGACTCCAAACTAGGTGCTGACATAATAATATTTCGAGTCTACCCGAGAGAATTTAGAGTCTACCCGAGCTGTATGCCCCAGGAGTGTCCACATGCAGATCTATCTGGAAGACACCCTCCTTCGCCTATCACACATCGGAATTTAAAACCTGGACCTGCGCCTCATGAATCCTTGTCTGTCTAAATTAGCTCGTCGCTTGCCAGGTGACTCATCCCGTCTAGACTATCGAGGAACCCGGGACAGCAGCGTGCCCATCCCCCGGCGTCGTTGCAGCCAATCTTTCGCTGTAGAAGATAAGGTAGGAGTGAGATTCCGAGATTTGACTAAGCAGATGCTTGTATTGTGGGAAAGAAATTTCTAACAGCCTGTTGACCCATCGAAATAAAATCTATCTACTAATGTACCAACACCATGGAGTTGCTCTTATTGGAGAAGTTTAGATTGTTTCCCCCCCCCCGAAGTGGCGAAATTCAAATAAAGGCCTAGCACAACATGGGAGTACTTTTTTCTCAGCCCTAGGCACAGATCTCTGCACTTTACAGTTTACAGTGGATGATAAAGCTAAGTCTATCACCTAGGGTGGAAATAGTAAAGCGAAGTTCTCCTTTTTCACAATTTCACATTTATTCTCCATAGTATAAATGGCTGGCCGTAAATGGTCTGATGAGGAAGTATGTCTCATTATTTGGTTTGCATCAATACGAATCCCACATGGAATCATCAGCTTGCTCTTGAAAAAAAGGGCTTTGGCCGTACGATGACGAGTGTTCGGAATAAGATCTCAACAATTCGCAAACAGAATTCGCTTGGAGAAGCTTCCCACGAGTTGATTGAACTTGAAGTTGACCGTTGGATCAGCCGCTTGTCCCCACGGATCAACGTTGAACAATTACTTACACCTACATTACAAGACCAGCGAATACTTGACCAGGTAGGATAGAATCTTTGAGTATGCTGACTATCATGACTAATGAATTACTAGTATTGTGCGAGGATCAATCTAGAATTCATATATTTCATTCGTCGCCCTGGGCACCACGCGATGTTAGACTGGAGTGATCCTTTCTTCCAACATAACTTGCATTTTTCCAATTCAGAAGTGGAGTAAAGGCGGCCGTGGTATTATGAGCATTTGTCGAAAGGTCTTTTGGCTGGATACAATTTGTGCGTTCTTTGGGCCCTGGTCATTTGCTTTCGGTGAATCGCCGAAGTCGGAAGGATTCCATGTGTCGGTTCGGGGCCAATTTCTGGCCTGTATTGAAATTTAGACTTCGAGACCCTCGCCTTTTTTCTTTCATATTCACGCGACTTACCACTTCTTCTGCTGCCGGAATCCATTCACTTTTTGGGTGAGAATCATACGTAGTATAACGAGGCCCAGACTTCATCTTTTCCATAATGAGAACATAGATGCGACGGTCACGACCCGTATCGAGGCCATCGACAAACAAACGATTGGCTCCTTTGAATGCGGCTCTCTTCTGGCGACGAAACCTTTCTCGGTTGGTCTTCGATAGTCTTCTGGCATTCGTAATGCCTTCGGCTTGCTGTCTTCTCTTCTCTCTCCACGGCGTAGAGTTTTGGCTTTTCCGTGGCATTCTGGAAGCATCGGTAACTAAAATGTCAACTTTGATCAAGAGGCGCACAAGCAATTTATATCTTGAGTTGCCTTGGGTGTTGGATTTGGAAAGTCCATATTCGTAGGCAGCGAAACGATCATGAGTCTATCACAGTCGAAGCAACCAATAGGAATGGATGTAGCCAGCCGCGCGACTATGAAGATTAACATCAAAATCACGACCTGGGAAAACCGTGGACTTCCTGTGCTTTATAGGCTGTTTCAGACAAGGATAGTAACCTTTTCACTTATTGAGAAGTCAGCCTGTTACATCAAAATGTTCACCACCGCAAATACTATCTGCCCTTTTGTGGTAGAACAATGGTTGGAACCAGAGTGCACAGGCATAGGTAAAGAGCCTAATACATCTTCCCTCATTGATACATTTGCTAAGGAGAAGAAGGTCACCATATCGAAACGCTCGAAAAAGTATCCATCAGAACTGAGATGGCAAGTTCTAATCTGGCCTTGGAAGCTGCTGCCCTGCAAGCCCTTTCAGGAGGCGTTGGAATCCCGAACCTGTACTGGTTTGGGATAGCGTACGGACAAAAGACCATGGTAACCGAGCTGCCTGGGCAATCCCTTGAAATGGTCTTCAATCAATGTGGCCGACAATTTGACATGCGTGTCTTGATCGAATTTGCATGCCAGATGATTTATCGTCTTGAATGGATGCATTCCCGTCACATATCCCACGGAAATCTTACACCGTCATCCTTTATGGTTGGACTAGCACAGTGGCAAACACCACAGATCATGGTGGGCAGTTTCGAAACTGCTGACCTATCAGACTATTCGGCCCGAAAGGATCTTGAGGCCGTAGGGAATATTCTCTTCTACTTTGTAACAGGATCTCCGTCTTGGGACCAGTTCAAAGCTTGTGAGCAGGGTTCCAAAAAAGTGCCTCCTTTACTCGATTTTTATTTCAACTCAATACCATCGGGTGAAGTGAACCCCGCCGATTATGTCAACATTCGATTCACTCTCCACGCCGCACGCCAGAGTCTCTCAAGCCGATCACCACTTGGTGAACTTATATCAACCCCAAATACGTCCCTGAGCTTGAGACAGTTGTTTGGTAAGACCACGGGTGACTTGTTTGAGTACCTTAGAATGAAGATGTCATCTGTTGGACAGATAGCCGGTGCTGAAAGCTCCCCGTGGACACAAGAACAGGCGATATCCATTTTAGGAGCACTGGACGAGATCATGGCAGTTTTCATGGTTCTTCTTATGCGCGATAAGCCATCGCCTATACGTCGGCGATACCTGATGGGCGCATATCATCTTCCAAACCGACTCTGGAGAGATCTTCGTTGGTACCTTTGTATGGCAAGCTGTGGTTCCATTTCATTCCGGCGCCTCATAACGCTTCGTGTTTACAAATATATGGGGGTCCTCCTTGAGGTAGTACCCCTCTATAATAGATACTGGACCAAGTTTTTATCTGAGCTTGCATATACACAGATGGGCCTGGACCTAGAGTCTTCATTATGGAGACAAGCTTGGATTTATTGGAAGGATTGTGCCAACCATTTAAAGAAAAGATAACTGTTTTCATGTTGATAATTCCTTGTTTTTTTTGTGCTACTTTCATATACTACCGTAATTACTTCCGTTTTATTGAAACCGAAATTTTAGCTCTTATTCATTTCAACTCCCTTACTTTATACTTTAATGACTCGTTTTGTTCCTGAGAACTCCCAGATTTCAATGCGCTCCGCAGATGATTTCGATTTGTATACCCATGTAGGAATTTATGTGCCTATCGACTTTACCAAGCATACAAAAGGGACTTCTATAAAGGGGACGGAGATGAATGGAGCTTTGGGCAGTATGGAATTGTAAGTCTTTGGGGGTATTCGTCTGGGGTTATTCGCACCCTGACTCGCCAAGGGGGAATCTTCAGGCATCCCAGCAAGAGAATTTGTCCTCTCAATATGCTTTGAGGTCCCCTTTTTGTTTATATTTTCTTCTTTTTTATTTCCTCCCTTTTTTGAAATACCGGCACCATCGTGGTCATCTCTAAAAACATGGTCCTCTAATACCGTGGTCAGGCTAACTGGAGGCTGTTTACTTAAGTCTGTTTGGATCTCAATTGAACGGCGGCAACAATTAACTTGTCACATTTAATATTTTACTTATCCGAAACAAGACATCTGAAAGCTAAGCTCCCGGACTTCACCAACAAGAAGTTTAAAAAAATAAAAAAAAGAAGAATTATGCCAATGCCTGATATCAAAGACTTCCGAGCACAATTGAACACGAACCTAGATTCTGAGCACCCTGAACTTCAGGCTCCAGCTCAGGGAACAGTCACTGGTGATATACCCGTGCAGGCTGCCGCTCCTATCATGTCCGGGCATCAGAAATCTAGTTCCACAGACACTATGGAGGGGAAAGACACTATGGAGGGGAATGAGGAGGATCTCAGCCACAACGAAAAATTGCTTATAATCAGAGCAATATCTGACGCATCTGACGATCCCTCTGCGTTTAAGAGCACACTTGACAAGACTCTTCCGGTTGCCGTGAATTTTAGAAAGCTACAAGCGCTTCTTCATCCTGACAAATATCATGGAGAAGAAAAGATTCAAGCTCAAAAGGCTTTTCAAAGTATGCCCCCCTACAGATATCGTTAGTACTTTGACTAATTGCATCAGAGCTATTATCATTTCGCGAAAAGTCTGGAGGTCTTCTCCCGGGAGAGGCGAATAGGCATACTAATTTCTATTACGGGAATGATGCGAGCCGCCCAGTAGAGCATGTTGAAGGTCAGCTATCTTCATATCACAAAGATGCACATGAGAGAGCAACCCCGCACCTTAGGGTGCTTTTTTCTGCATTGAAAAATAATCCAAGGCTGAATCCTCAGGCGAACTTGGAAGGCCTAGATGAAAAGGCCAAGGTCGCTGTTGCCGCGCTTGAAAGCATCAACGCCGAGATAAAGGCTGGAAATGAACGAATGAAAAAAGATACTGATCTTGGAATGATCCGGTATCCTGATTTATTTGGGCATTGGAGAGTACTTTTCCTGCAACCGGAGCTGGTACCTACGCAAAGCGCTGCGAACTTACAGTGGTGTGAGAACTTTCATTATCCAAATGAATGGGCCAATTTCGGCGCGTCGGAGTCTTCTGCCAATTCCTCTGCCAACATACAGTCGCAGCCGCAGCCGCAGGTTGGCGCAGATATACCAGGAAACAGTATTCAACTTCGAAATGCCACTGGTGGACAGACACGTACAATTGCAATCGTACCAAGAAAGACAACGCGCTCTATCAATCCTGGTTACACATCAAGCGGTGAAGCGATACGCATGATTCAATGGCTTGGCAGAATAGGCGCCCGTTTTGTGGTGGAAGATGCGCAGGGTAGTGTGCGGCTTGTTTCAAGCGCTGCCGCAGGAGGTCAACCGGCATTGGACGGAGCTACCAGAGCTAATATCCCAAGCACGCTTCGTGAAGAACAACATATCCGAGAGCTTCGCGATCAAGTCAGAGCCGGTGGTCAATATGGCCTTAACTGGCTGGCTGTCGGAGAATTAGAACCGGGGAAAAGCAGGCTTCCATTCATCGTGGCTGGCTTTTGGCACCAGGGGCCAACCACTCCGCTGCGGGAGGAGGGTGTTTCACGGTCTGCTCTCAAAAAAATACTTGCACCCCGCGAGGCAGACAGATTGATTGCCGAAAACATGATCGGTGACCCTGGATACTCTGTGAAAGAGGCACTTGCAATACTATCACCCGCCGCGAATAGCCACAGATCAGGAGCACCATTGGCACTTCCCGACCAAGGGCAAAACTTCTATTCGTGGCTCCCATCCATGCCCCAGCAGTTTTCTGCTGCTCTGGACGCGCCCCGAGTGCCTCATTTTCAACAGCCGTCAGCCCCTGACCAAATCCAATTCTCACCCCAATATCAACAGCCATTAGCCCATGCCCAATCCCAATTCTCACCCCAATATCAACAGCCATCAGCCCATGCCCAATTCCAGTTGCCACCACAGTTCCAACAATTATTTCCACCTCAGGCGCAGCAGGCCTTCCATCCTCAGCCAAGTTTCCAGTCTACATACGGCCAGTATCCAGGCGCTTTCATTGCTCCTCCTCAGCCCTTGTTTGATTTTTCGAAACAGGCACCCGTTACTCAGACTCCACACCGGGAAGAGGAGCTGTGAGTCGTTAATAGGTATGCGCTAGATAAGTTTTAACTCGAGGATATTAAGAGTACTTCTAGCCAGATTGATGGCCATACAAGGAAAATCATCAAGCCGCCATGGGATAACACATAATGCAATGGCGGAACTCAGTACATGTCTGTGTTATATTTAGTTATCATGAGTAATGCATTGATCGCTTTTCATAACCCAACCCCCTGTAAGAATGGGTTGACCGCTATGCCCATAAATATGAATACAACAGTACAGACGGCTGAATACTGACAATACTTAGGCATACACAACAGTATGGTAAAAATGGCAGATATTGAAGATTGTTAACTCTAAAATTACAAAACCGACAATCTGAGCGGACTCAGCTCACTGAATGTAATATGCACATTTGTATAGTACATATTTGTAATCTCACGTAGTAATCAGGCCACTAGTTGACTAGCTAGACCACAAATGCAAATGTTGAGTACCACTGGTCACATGATTTTTGGGGTAGTTTACCCTCTCTGCACCATGTAATTCACTTTGTTATTCCGACAAAGAACACTAACCTCATGAGAAGCAAAAACTTCCGAGGTCCATCCAGTGACCTCGCACTCGTGGGCCATAGTGTAATTGAAGACTTTGCTTGATTTTGATTAGGAACAGACGAACCCAGGAAGTCGCAAACCAGCATGGTGATGTGGCCCACTCATTGACGACAACACAGATCAGACTATCGGATGGCCCTATACCTACTTTTCATTTAATCCTATACATTTAGGACTTGTTGCCCTCGATACCGATCAATAAAGTAGGAGGGTGGTGAATAGTCGACATAACTCTAACTTACTAAGCGCCGACACGCCATGGCCACGATTCCCATGACCACGATTTTCCCGCGATTTTATACTTAGAAAGTTGTTTTCTGCCGATGAGTGTGACACATCGATAATATATTGTTGCGAAGACACGTGACCTCCTAGCACTCTAGTCTAGTCTAGCTAGCTTTCCTTCTTCTTTCTTTTCTCTTAGCACGCACAATAAAAGATTTTCTAGTCCACTCCTTTTTATAAGTAGTCGTATAGGATTATCTCTCTATTAGGTTATAAGTCCTTTGCTGTCGAAGCCTCTATATAACTACAAGCTTCGCATCTTCTGATTCCTCCGGACCCTAGTGCTGCGTCGCACCGACCTACTATAGGGTGTTTTTATAGACTTTTCACTAGTTAACCTAATAATACCCTACCCTACCTACCTACCCTATATACCTAGTTATCCTAATTTCTCTCTAGTATCCGAATACTTAGGTAGAATATAGGATCCTATTATCTAATTAGCTATTCGACTTCTCTATTAACCGCTAAATAGACCTTATTAGCCGTTCGACTCTTCTATTAACCGCCGTACTATCTTATTAGCCGTTCGACTTCTATTAACCGCCGTATCTTATTAGCTATTCGACCTTCTTATTAATTACCGAACCCTATATAGACTACTAATATATCAGAGTCCTTTAATATTAGGGACTTCGCCGTTAGTCGATATAAGATTAACTATATAGATTTAGTACCGAAACTAAAAAGATAGTCTAACTATAGAGATTAGAAGATAGCTATATATCTAGCCCTTCTTACTAATAATAGATACTATACTAGGATAATCTCTTATAGAATTCTCTCCCTAAATAAACCTAAGTACTTCGAAGTCTCTCGATAGGCTATAGAATAGGCTTTACTCGCGGAAGTATAGGAGGTATAGGTATAACGCGATAATAATATTACGATTACTACTACGAATATCCGAGAAAGAATAAAGGAGATTAAGGAAATTAATAAGATACTTCGGAAAAAGTACGAAAATAAGCTTAATAATTAGTAATCTTATAATACCCGAACCCTTATTTATATCCGGAAAACTCTCGTACCTAAGCCCTTATTAGTTATTACTTAAATTACGGATATACGTAAAGCTTTTAGTAAGCTTCGGAAGATATATACGATAAAGTCTTATTAATAAGCCTATACCTACTATTTAAAGTAGATTGACCTACGGTATAAGAATAGATCTCTCTCGGACTTTATAAAGAGGTTTTAAGAGGCCCTTCGTAACTTTATTACTATAGACGAAGAGCCCTTTTAAATAATTAAGCTATATTAGTTTAAAAAGGCTATTATAGAGAATCCTCGTTATCTTTCCTTCTTATAGAACCTACGAGTCGACGAAAAAGATAAGATTTTTATAGAAAGGGTATATATCGAGTTTATCGAGGTAGAGACTAATAATCGTTCTTTTAACGTTTCTTAATTAACCCTATTTACGAATACTATATCTACTAAGGATACTTCTAATAAGGATAAGAAGTCTAGTAGAAATAATAAAAAGGGTAGAAATACTACCTCTTCTACTTCTTTTAAAGATAAATCTAAACCTAAGAGTAAGAATAAAAATAAGAAGAAAAAGAAGCCTTTTAAACGGGAGGAAAATATTATCTTTTATAAATATTATAACGTCCTAGGAAATCACTATTCTAGGAATTACCCTTTATAGAAAAATAGTATATCTTCTAATATAGTTTCTCTTTATTAATAGTAAGCTATTTAGTAAGTCTTAGTCCCCTAGCTAGGCTAAGTTATAGATTAGGTAGATAGTTAGGGTTATATTATTTCGCTAAACCGTATTATTAATACTATTTTCTCTTAATAAAGAGCTTCTTCTAGAGATCTAGTTACGAAATATAATAATCTCTTTATAAATACTATTTTTAGTATACTTACGGTATTAAAATAAGGTTAACTATCTATAGGAGATAATAATAATATCTCTCGCTAGATAATTAATTCTAGTACTAGTACCTATATAACCCCTTATAGGTTTATCTTTATTAATTTTAGGCCCTATATAGTCCTAGTTTCTATAGCTATAGGCGACACTTTTTATACTAAGGGCTATAGAGACGTTATTTTAAGAATATTAAATATATTAGACGAATATATTAGACTTTTTATTTTATATAAGGTCTAGCTTACCCTAGATCTTAAGGCTAGCCTAATCTCTATATCTATACTAGATAAGGAAGATATCGGTACCTTAGTTAAAAATAGGGTTATAACTTTTAAAGCTTCTAATTCTACTATTAGCTCTAGCTCTAATACTATTATTAGTTTTACTACCTATAAAGGTAAATATTACTAGCTTAACTACCTAGGAATTAATAAAATTAATACTATACTTTCTAATAATCTAAATATACTAACTAGATCTCTAAACTCTATTTTTACTACTAAAAATAGAAATAGGTCTTCTATAATTTCTATTAACCTAGCTTACCGATATACTTATTATACTAAAGAAAATAGGGTTTATAAGATAGAAACCTATACTAAAGGTATTAAATTAAAAAAAGGTACCGGCGTTACTTTTCCCTATACTCTATATATTAAGGGTAAGGGTTATACTCTCCCCTTTAGAAAGGAAAGGTCTATTAGGTCTAAACTAGGCGAATATCTATATATCGACGTCTAGGGTCTAATCTTAATTATATTATATAGTAGAGAGAAATACTTTATTACCTTTACTAATGACGCTACGCGCTTTTACTAGCTTTTTCTACTTAAATCTTAGTCTTAGGTAACCGACACCTTTATTTAGCTAAAAAATTATCTTTAAACTTAATTTAGCTATTAAGTTAAAAAGATTTATAGTAATAATACCTCGGAGTATCGGCCTTTAGATATATATCTCTCGTAAAATAGTATTATTTAGGACCTTACTCCTCCTTATATAAAGTAGCTAAACGGTATTACTAAGATTAAAAATCGATACCTCGTTAAACCCCTTATTACTATTATATCTAAATACTAGCTTCCGAAATACCTTTAGGGTTATCTACTAGGGGGAATTAACTATATTATAAACCGACTCTTTACCTCGAAGATCGGTATATCCCCTTATAAGGCCCTTTATAGGAAGAAGCCTAATCTTAGTAATTTACGTATACTTAGCTATTAATATTAGTTCTTAATTCTAAAGGAAAAACGCCTTATAAAGCTAGATCCGTATATATAGGAAGCGAGATTAATTACTTATAACGAAGGAGATAATTATATACTATATAATATATATACTAAGAAGATTAAACGCTCCCGAAATATTATTTTTAATAAAAATCTAATACTAGAGGTACTACCTATACTAGACTATAATCTATAGGTACTATCTTAGGGTTAATCTTAATCTTAATCTTAATCTAGATCTTAGTCTTAAGAGCGATACGTTCCGATCGACTTTATTTATAACGAATACGAAGATCTCTTAGATCTACTAGATACTAATCTTCTGGAAAATAAATATAATATCCTATAATTTAATAATCCTTTTAAGATTTATATTAGGTCTATACTACCCCCTCCGGTAGTTAAAGACTACCTAGAAGATATTATATATTCTCTAGCGAGTCCTCCGCTAGATACTACTAGTCCTATTATATTAGAGCCTAATATTTAATTTTACGATACCTCTCTCGATATCTCTCTCGATACCTCTCTTAATATCTCTCTCGATACCTCCTACGATATCTCCCTTAACGATCTCCTTCCGAACCCTAATTCTTTCGAGTTACCTTTTAATAACGGAAATAATAAAATAGCGGGTAGTCTAAGTAGTAGTATAGAGGGATAATAATAGGAAGATAGTCTTTACTTTAACGTAGGTAGGGTTAGGGCTCCTATAGAGCTATAGACTACTTCCCGGTAGTTTATTATAGACTTCTTATATTTAGGTACTCTTCTAGAACGTATAGATAATCCTAATTTCGTTATCCTAACTAGATCTTAATAGACTAAGTCTAATTAAGATAGGGTACGACGTTTAACTAGACTTAGGAAGCCTAGTTAGGTATATATTAAAAGCTTAGCTAGTTAATTATTCTTTAATATAAATATCCTATAATTTCTAGCTAATTCTCCTAATATCTTAATTAATCCTTTTACTATAGTAATACTTAAGAAAGAAGATTAATATACTCC